CTAAATTTAACAAGCACGATAAGCACAAATAGATAAATTAGAGAAGAAACCATGAAACTCTTACAAAGAATTGGAAGAACCACGACTTGAAGCTTGAAGGAGGTGCTTAATTGGAGTGGAGCTTGAAGTACAGTAGAAATCCAATGAAAAAATTGACACTAGTTTTAGGTTTTATTGGGAGACTTGAGTTAATATTTTGGCGGTGCTTTTAGGAGTAATTAGTATTGATCTGGCGCCAAGCCCAATTCCCTTCAAGGCCTCAAGTTTAACCAATTAATTAAGCGCCAAACTATTTTATGCTTAATTTATTTCACTTTTTTTTTGTCTTTAATTTAATTAATTATAAAGCTCTTTTTTGCTTATAGATTTTCTTACATATGAAAATCAGAAAATATATACTTGTAATAATGAATGAAAAATATATATTATCAATCTTAAAAAAAATTGCAACAATTTGATCTCAACCAAATTTTGTCATGCATTATGTTGTTAAATTAGTTACAATGTAAAATATTAATATTTTATAACTTATACATTTAAAAAATTAAAGACATTACTACCTTCGTCAAACTGTACATCATTCTAGTCGTCAAAATATTGCAATAGACATATCAAAAACTTAATTTATATATAAAATGTTAAACTTAATGTACAACTTTACAATATGTTGTTTTCTTATAATAGAAAATTTTGAATCAAACTTTGACTCAACCGAATTGTGATATGATCCGATTCAAAATTAATTGGCCTAGAATCATTTTAACCTAAACAAGACTTGAACCAAGAATTGATTTAGTATGATCTAATTGTGGTTTAATCTGTCAAAATTTGTCCACATTCGTGATTTTGTTTATCAAACCTTGGTTTGACCCGATCTGGCTTAAGGTGTTATCGTTTTGTTATTGTGTTCCAGTCAACCAAACTTGACTCATATTTCACACGAGGCTAGAGATGTCAAAACCTAACCTGACTGAGCCGATCTAAAATTGACCCGAAAAATTATCCTATTCATATTGTGACTCGCATGGACCTAATAATTTAGCATGACTCAAGTTTGAAATTAAACCCAACTTAACTTTACCCAACCTCACTAAAATTTGACCCGGGTTTAAGAATAACCCGACCTGAATTTCATCCGACCGAAATTTACCTGTTGAAACTTGTTTGTAACTCGACTTGACACAAACCGAACCCAAAGCATTACCCGACCCAAAATTGACTCGAATCAAACTCAAACTGCAACTGAAAAGATATAAAGCATGTCATAATCCGAATCGAACTTGACCCAACCCGACCTGAACCCGACTTGTAAGTAAAAATAACCAACATGATCCGACTTGAATTTGACCTGAAACCTGACATGACCCGACCTGAACCCGACTTGAATACCCGATTTGACAGCTTTAGTCATTATAGTTGATAACATACAATTTTTTTCAAGTTATCTATATATCTTTATCATTGTATGATAATGTAAGTTAACATAAAGCTAAAAACATTCTTTCCTACCTAATAAATTTAAGACAAAAACATATTTGAAAATAATAAATAAATAAAAACTTGTCTTGTCACGACTGTAAACCGAATACTGGCAATGCGAGCAATAGGTTTTGACCCCTAAAAAGTTGTTCACACGCTCGCATCATTTTTCTCCAACTAAAATTTCACGAAAACCAAAAGTTAGTACCACTTTGAATGTGTAAACTTACACAAAATAGATCACTATAGTACTGGGAGTAAAAATAAAAGTTTTAGTAAAAATAAAAATCTAGTTCACAAATGTTTACCTGATTAACCGGTTGCAAGTCATATGGGTGCAATAGAAATTAATCCCATATAAAGTTGGGAGTGATAGTGAATAATCGAAAGTAGGAATTATTATTGGCGGACAAAGCAAAGTTGGGATTGATGGGGGCAATTTTAACAAGTAATAGTTTCTTATTGATGAGTAACTAAATAATTTTGAATAGCTTCGTCTTATAATAATTGTGATAATAAGGAGTAGTTATAAGGAAATGCAACACTAAAGGATAAAGTTATGTAAAATGGATTAAATGTAAAATATACAAAAGAATTTTACATTTGTTTGTTAGACTTTTTAAAGTAGAAAATTTTCGAGTGGTTCTTCTATTGAAATTTTAGTAGTTAGAGTTTGTAATCGATATGGAATGTATAAAATGAATGAGAAATATCATATGTGTATATATAAAAGTTTATTTATTGGTTATTTATCTATAAATCATTTTATGTACAATTTTTAGATAATACAGTTAGAGGGAATAACTTTATACTTTTTATATTTAAGTTTATAGTCGTTGGAGCACGCACTATGCGCGTGCCCCCCCTCCCCCCCGGTAAGATATATAAGATTCATGGTTGTGATCGTGTTTCATAGTTTGGGATGTTATTAAAATAATGATTAGGGGATCTTATTTGTGTGGTAGTTACTAACTTAGTTTTAAGTTCTTTCAATCTCTTCTTCCTTCATAATATAACCTCTCTCTATATTTATACCTTGTCTTATGTCATTTTCCTTTTCTATTCATCCTTGCTTTTTTCACCTTCTTGTTCCTTTTTTCTCCTTTATATCCACTCTTTTTGTATAGTTTGAGCGGTTTAGTAAGCCTCTCTCTCTCTGTCTTCTCTATCTCTCTCTCCTAACCCTTCTTTCTTTCCCGACTCATCTCTCTCTTTATCACTATATCTCTTTCTCCCTGCCCCTCTTTCTCTTAATTTCTCTATTTCTTTCTCTTCCAACCCTTATCCCTCTTTTTTTCTCCCTGCCTCTTTTTCTCCCTCCCTCTCCTACAAGATCATCTCTATCTTTCTCTATCCCGACCCTTCTCACTCTATTTCTCACCCCTCTCTCTCTCTCTTATCCTACTTCCTCCCTCTTTACCTCTCTCTCTCCTCCTACTCCCTCTCTCTTTCTCTCTCCTCCTCCCATTCCTTCCCCTTTTCCCTCTCTCTCCTCCTCCCACACCCTCCTTCTCTTCCTCTCTTCTCCTCCCTCCATCCTTCTGCCATACTTTCTCTTAAAAGATATCTATTACTATGGTTATATAAACATTTTTATAAAAACATATACTTGTGAAATTTAGCACGATTCTACTGTTAGGTTGCACACTTTATTCTAAAAGTGCTACAAATTAGTTAACATTTTCATAATTGTCACAAAACCACATTTGTTAACGAATAACATTTACTGAAAGAATTGAAGTTTGTCCAACTCTTTCTTGGTCACTTTGTTTCTCTATCCTTTTAACTTTCATTTTCTTTCATTTATGTTTTATAATCGAGTATTTTAGAAAGTTTTTAAATAGTATTTTATCTCACCTTCCTTTTTTTATTTCCTCAAACTCACATATTCTCTTTCTCGGTCTCCCTGTCCCTCTTCTCCTTCCTCCTTTTAGATGGCCTTTCATTCTCTTAGCCACCCTCTGTACCTCTTGACCCTTCTCTCTCTCTCACTCTATCCCCTGACATGCTCTATACTATTAACTTATAGCCTTGCTTTTCTATGTTTCTCTTTAAGCCTGTCTTCCCTCTCTTTCATAGCACTTTTCTCTCTCACCCCCTCGGCCCCTCCCCCCTCTCTCGACCTTGCCTTTGCTCCCTTTCCTTGCACCTTTGCCTCCCCCCTTCTCTTTCTCTCTCTCCACCCTCCCTTCCTCTCGACAATGCCTGCTCTATCTATCTCTTTCTCTCTCCGGTTTCTTTTCCTCTCTCTCTCTCTCTCTCTCTCTCTCTCTCTCTCTCTCTCTCTCTCTCTTTTAGCCCTTTTCTTTCCTAGCCCCCTCTTTCTCTCTCGACCCCTCTATTCCTTTCCCATCTCCCCCCCTTTTTTTTCTCTCCTTCACCTCCTATTTCTTACGCTCTATATCTCTATCTCTCCTCTCTCCAGGCTATCTCACTCTGTCTCCTTCTACCCCTTCCTACCTCCTACTTCTATCTATCTGAAGTTATCTATAGCTATGGTTGTACAAATATTAAAAAGATCAACCTCTCTCTCTCGTATGGTCATGCAAACCCCAAATAAGTATTTTCGTATGGAGCGCACGCTTGCACACCCCCCCCCCCCAACTTTGTACATGTAAATTTGTAGATGTGTTTTTCCACACTAGCTTGGTAAGATTTTTCACTTTGTATGATTGTTTATTGTATGTAAATTGAATTCACTTAAATTGCAAGAAGCCAAGAGCTAATCGGTGAAATGTGATTGAGCATTTTTTTTAAAAAAAAAATCTAAGCAAGTATTGTCATGTTCTTACTCTAAACCGTTTCTCCTTCCTTCCTTTATTTTCTAAAACCCTCTATTTCTCATTCTTAGGCCCCGTTTGCTTCACCTTATTTTTGCTGAACTGAAATTTTTTTTACTGAAACTAAATTATATTTGCTGAACTGGAATTATTTTTACTGATTTTCTATTATAATTCTTCTATAAGAAAACCGAATTTTACTGAACTAAACTTATTTTTACCGAACTAAACTTATTTTTACTGAACTAAAATTATTTTTAATGACTGAACTTAATTTTACTGAACTGAACTTATTTTTACAGAACTGAAATTAATTTTACTGAATATTATTTTTTTTAAGGTGAAGAGAACAGGGCCTTAGTCTTTATCTCCTTCTTCTCCTTTCTCCTTTTTATGACTTCAAAACTTATAAGTCTCTCTATTTCTTATGACTCTAGCATGAATCTATCTACCTTAAGGTTGATTTTTTTTTGTTTGAAATATAGTATTAAGTAATCAATTTGAATTTCTACATAAAGTATTCAAAACCTTGTAATTTTTAAAACTTAGTTGATTTTAAATCAAATAGGTAAACAAAGATATAATTTCTCTACTAACTACTACAATCAACTTGAATTTCTACGCAAAATATCTCATTATACCTTATAAGTTTGTGTTTTTTTTTTCTTTTGTATTAAATGTAGTATTAATCAACTTGATATTGACCTCTTTTCTCAAAAAAAAAAAAAAAAAAAAAAAAACTTGATGCTCAACCTCAAGAACAAAGATATAATTTCTCTACTACAATCACAGTACACATATTGAAGTTGAATACAAGTATATATTATGCTCATATATTCACTTATATGCTCTTGCATTACTTCATCATTTACGTATCTAATTCTATTCATTTCTACAATCTAAAACTATAAATTAAATACTACTCATACTACAAATGAAATTAAATCCCATAACCTCAACATATAACACCATCACCATCTCACACCAGCTTCATCTACCATCCGAGAGTTGCTAGAGTACTGATGGTTGTATCCTTGTCTTATTGGCGCCTTTAAGCACATGCTCCACTCCTACAAGATTACCATATAATCATATATACATGAAGACATGGTTTATGCCACAGATTAATGGACTTGGAACTTGTAAATAACAGCAAGCCAGTTTCATCTCCACCACAAGAAAGAGATTATACTGGAAAACAATCATATATGTCCAGTGCTTAAACTTACATCACTTCACATACCAAATACTGAAAATTTGGGCAGTTAACATAAACCCAAAAAGATATTAACCTTACCATGAAAGTGTCCAACATGTGTCGAAAAACATACCTAAAATATACATACATACATACATACATATATACATACATACATACAAAAACAAAGCCTTGGTCCCAAAATGATTTGGGGTTGGCTAAATTGAATCCTCACAATGAATCGTACGATATAAAGAAAAGTACATAACAAAATAATAATTTGAAAGTGTTTGAAAAAATGTGAGTAAAGAAGACAGTCTACAAGTCATGAACTATACACATAAGCAAACATTGCTTTTAAAAGTCGCTTCCAACCCAATTGTCCACAACCCTGCTCTTGTTTAAAGGTTAATTTGAAGAGAAAAAGTATAAAAGAGATCAGATATCTGACATTTGTATTTCTCTAAAATTGCTTAGCTTCCTGAAATCAATGCCACTACAATTGACTAAAGCAAAACATAAGCTACCAAGCATGTTTCCTTCTAGACTGTTTAAACCCGCAATGATTTATCTCAATGGCACATATTCATCCTTGATCTAGAAGGGAAGATGAACCATTCACCACAAACTTGTTTTTTTTACTGCAAATAGGGAGTCTAATTAAGGAATGGATTGCATCATAATTGTTATTTCATACATTTTATTGCAATTATCATTGTAACCATATGAGAACTGGCAAAATTCAGTAAACAAATGGTCACAGAATGATGAAAGCACATTAATTTGCAGTACCTTCAAATTCCATTTCCTTTTCCAAGCTCATGACTGGGGGTGAGGATGAAAGGCACTTCCATCAACTCAACCATTTCCCATCTTCCCACAAAGCACTTCAGTTAACTCAATGTCTAGTCTGATGTCAACATATGACATTTTTGATAGAGGTATCTCTCAAAATATGCAACTTAAATTTTTGATAATAAAAAATATATATGATAAGTGTGCTACAAATTATTAGTTACCCCCAATTAAATCTAGAGGTAAGAGCTAGGTATAATCCAAGAATATTTTATTTTTTTCCCATTTTATCAATTGTATAACAGTATAACACATCGAAAATTTTCATTGTTACAACAACCTAACTATAACAATCATATTCAATCAAACATAATAATCAACAAGACGTTATCCAAAACTTGCACCCAATAATTAATCAAAATGCTAATAACTATGTATATACATTTATAAATACATCATAACATATATAATTTCAATGAATACTATATATGTTATATTAATATAGTACCATATCAGATTTAGTATACACTACAACTTACAAGTTATGACATAGCAGCCTCACAACAGCTGTAAATAGATACTATAGTGCATTCTAAGCCATCTCGGCAATGCCAATGATGTCTTCATCCCAAGCCTACTCAAGAACAAGGCATATAGGATGTGTAGAAGAAACACGAAGAAGCAACAAGAGCTGCCAAAAAAAGAGAGTGTAAGCTTGATGGCTATATCATACAAAATTAAGAATTGGTTTTTTTTTTATCTATTTATAGTACCAAAGCCTAAATGTTTAGAAATTTGTAAGTCAGTAAAATATTTCTTTAAAGCTTAATAAGGAGTCACTCACTGATACTTATTATGAGGTTCGGAGCTCCAAAAGCATTTGAGCTGAGTGCTTAAGAACTTCTCTGAGATTGTCTTCCTCTCGATCTTCTCCTCTTTTCCCCCTGGAACTCAACAAAGCAAGGCGAGCGAGTGAGAACTACAACAACTTTAGAGTTACTACAACTTAGTTGTTGTATCAGGGCTAACTAACAGATTCGAGCAACTGCATAAAGGATTTAAAAGCCATTTGCATATAACCTATCCAAAATCCTACAAGTACAACAATAAAATAGATTCAAACTTCAACATTTCACTTATTCATTGACATATATAATTCCTATTTTCTAGAATAATACCCCAAACAAAGCAGAATAAGAGGTAATAAAATAAATAGAAAATTTTCACCCATATTCAAACACAGGCCACTATTTAACAATACTATTAACTCTAAGTGAAAAATCTAATTTAACACACAGTAAGAAAGCAATGAGTACAAAATTAAGCTGCGGACGGAAGAACTTATTGCACGGTCCAGGATCAAAGCCCCATCCTTTCATGAAGAGATTGTTGACAAGAGAGGGGAGTTTTGGCCCAAGAACATGCAATATTTTTTTGTGGTCTAGAGTCTACAAGCAGAATATTACCAATGGCTTCTGGCATTATTTATTTATTTATATGATTCCTTCTCATAATAGTCTTAAAGCCGCAGAAGTGAACTATCTTTATTGGTGAATGGTGAATATACAAAAAGACTAACAAACAACAGAGTGAACAACTTGATAAAATTCACTCACCCTAGGATTAACTCATTCTACTGAGGCCATAACTCTTCATCTCCGAGCTTATTAATTTTAACTAAGATCCCGTCAACTATTTGAATTGGAATTCTTATCTTTGTGGACAGACTACTCACCACGCTTCTTGTTGATTCTATCTTGGTGGGTTCAACACCTTTTTCGACCAAATGGTTTAATTTTACCAACTTTATATCATGTGAAACCCTCATTTTTTTCTTCAGCCTGTACACAGAAAGTATGACTACATGAAGAATTGACCATTGGGTACAGAGATGAACTAAATTACTCATCATCAATGAAATTACATAGCAGCAGATTCGGCAAACTGAAAGAATTACTAAAATTGAAAAGGAGCGTAAATCACACTCCCCCCCACCCCCCTTTCTCTCCCACAGTCCTACCACACCCCACCCTACCAAAACACAAATAATATATGAATCCAGAATGAAACATGAAAGCATAGAACAAACAGCTGAAAAATCTCCATGCAATAGACTTTTCTTGACTCATAGCGATAGGTCAGAAACCAAGAGATTCTACTCTAGCAACAACTATGTATGATATCAGATATTAACATTAAAACAGAATTACAAACACTAAATGAATGTGTAAATTTGAAGCTCGTGTACACATAAGACCAGATATATTTATCAGTCCAGAGAGCAATAGAGTAAGAAAAACATTAAAGACCACAAAAAATAGGTACAATCGCAAAGAAAGAAAATGTAATAAAATAGAACTTTTTCGGAAGCTTGATTGACTTTGTCATGCATAAGCATTATTAGGAAATAAATCTGCACACAACAATTAATCATGCATTGAATCAGGGAAAAAAAATTTGTGCTACCAAAATTATGTGCATGACCAAGTATACTATAGTATACTAAGTATAGGGACAGTCAGCAAAATAACATTAATTTAGAAATTGTGGAAGTCTACTTTGCAAACCAAACTCAGTACAAAACAATTGCTTGCCCAAATCAAACTCTCAACCCACCCATATTATCCGGCTATATTTTCTTCACAATCTAACCATTTCATGATACCTAATTAACAACAGCGTGGCAAAATTAGAATTGTAGGCTTGTAGCTACAGTCACAACTCACAGCGAAAAGACATCCTCTACCATTACTAAAACAACCTTTTGCATTACAATCAAATTTAATATATTTTTTATTTTAATAAAAAAACCCTAAATTGGATATAACATATCCTGATTCTCGAATAACCGTTAAGCATAACAACAAATAAAAGACAACAGATCAACTATAAGCTTCAACAGTATCATAAAATTTTCCAACAAAATCTTGAATGATTGTATTAAAAACATAAACTAAGTCAAATAATAACTATTTGGTGATAGTGAAAGTGTGTATACCTTGACTTCATCAAAGAGTTTCTTCTCCCAAAGATACAATTTTTGCTAGGTAGCTGAAAGATTAGCTGATTGCAATTGCACATTTTCATAAAGGTCTAGAGAAGCCTCGTCTTTCAATGAAGAGGGTAATGATGGACTAATCACATTGAGCATCTTTGTAGAAACTATTTCACAAGCAACAAATGCCAATTAAAATAAATAAATAATCCTATCCCCTGGTAAAAACCAAACAGTTTAAGCAATCAAGAAACAAAAATAACTCACAAACATAACAAATTGATGTAAAATGCAATCTCCTAACCTTGGTAAGCCTACCTCCAACACCTTAGAAATCTCACCCCCAGAAGTGGCAGCCCTCTCATATTGCACCTGAATTTTCCTCACAACCTCGAAAACATTCTTAAAACACGGTCTTCCACCGCCTTTACCTTGTTGTTCTGACTTTCCCTCCTCACCAACCACCGTATTTTCCACTATAAGAACCTCATACTCCACCGGGGTACTCTTAGGCGACGACGCGCTCGACCTTGCTCTATACAAACCACCTAATACCCCAAACTCAGCGGAACAAGAGGTAATAAAATAAATAGAAAATTTTCACCCATATTCAAACACATGCCACTATTTAACAATACTATTGACTATAAGCAAGAAATCTAATTTAACTCAAGCATCATTAATTCAATCCTATTACAATTATAAATTAGTAATAATCACACTAAACTCATATCTTTCACATTAATGCTTTTTGTTTCCAGGATGGTAACGATGAGGGTTCTCGACTTTTCCAATAGTTGGAGCTGATATCCTAGCAAACTTCATATAGAAAATAATCGATTAGATACTGAAAGATCTTAATCAAATAGATAAATAAATAAATAAGACTCTGACTTTAAAATGCATGGGAATTTAATCACAATTTTTTACCAAATTGAATCGAAACCACCCCATAGTTCTAAAATAATTTTTCATCCTCCATTTCTGCATATATAGAAATTAAAGCACCGCTCATAATCAAGGTACAAGAAATACAACGAAAAAAAGGGAAATGAGCACAACCTTAAAGGAAGAAACGATGAAGCCCAACCAATCTTCATGAAACAATTACTCATACATCACTCTTACAAAAGAACACAAAATACATAAATTTCAAACCAAATTTAAAAAATATTGGTGCAAATAAAACTTAATTTAAGCATTACCTAAAATTCTTGAACAACAAAACACTTCATCAATGTGTAAAATTACCGCTCATAACCCTCACCAATTTATTTACCAATTTACTAAATTACTTCAGATTTGACAAAAAAAAAAAGCCTAACATCAACTGAGCTTGTTTCTCAATCAATCAAATTAAAATTCCATCAATTCCACAAAACACAAACAAACATCAACAACAACACACAACTCACATCACACAGATCATAAATAAATCATTACATTCTAGAAATTAAATAAATAACAAATCGACCATATAGTGATACCTCAAACTCGAATCCACCAGACCTTGCTCCGTCTTACTCTTTCCGCCTATTTTAGAAAGAAAACAGAGAAACTGGAGGATGAGAAAAGAAAGGGAAAAAAAGGAAAAAAGAGGAGAAATAAACAAAAAAAAACTGTCAACATTCATATTAAAGGTTAGATAAAAATTGAACCAATTTGAACAAGAAAGAGAAAAGAGAGATAGAATTGTACCGAGAGATCAACAATTCTGTTACAAATCAGACAATAATGCTACTAACAATATTTAAAATCAACCTAAAAAAAGATAAATCACTCAAATTCAACCCAAAAAAAAACCACCACACAATTGAAGAAGGTACTAAAATTCAACACAAAAAACGAAAATAAATAGAACAAATAACCCTTAAAAAGTCGAAAATCAATCAACCAAATAAACCCAAAAAATCGAAAACAAATCGATCAAATAAACCCCATTAAAAATAAAACGATTTCGCACAAATACACCCACAAAGATTCAACCCAAAAAATTCGAAGACAATAGGAACATATATGCAAAAAATCCACGACAATCGAACAAGTAAAGCCCAAAAATTTGAAACTAAATCGAGAAAGAGAAACAAGATCGAACCTAATGAATATGACGATCGAAAAATCGTCTTCCACAACCTCAGACTCGAAAAATCGAAATGCTGAGAAGAATCGAAGCACCATCGTCGAAGGGATGATCGTTGGTCTTGAATTGCTGAAGTTTCTCTCTCTCTTTGTTTCCCCTTTTTCCTTCTGAGATGAAAAGACAGAGGGGGAAGAAGGTGAGGAAGTCGTTGAGAGAGTAGAGGACAAGTAAGTCGGTGGGAGAGCAGCAGGCATCAACCAATAGTAATAAGGGGCAGAATGAGCAATTCATTAATGTTGGGGGCAAGGCTGTAATAGCACCACAAAGCACTATTGTTAATTCGGATGAAATACTACAAGAGGGGGGGGGGTGAATTGTAGTATGTTCCTAGTGCCTACTTTTCGCGGAATATAAAACTGATTGTTGTTAGGAACTTAGACAATGCAAAGAGGATTTTACGAGGAAACCATCCAGGGCCCAACTGGAAGTAAAACCTCGACCCTACCTTTGGGATTTCAAACACAAACAATTTCACTATAATAGGGCAAGCACCAAGTTACAACCTATTAGACACGGACCTTTATTTCACAAGTTCCTCACTGGACTTGCTACTTGATAGGACCCTAACCAACCCAATCTAAGTACCACGCTTAGATTCACTCGTACCACCAAAGTACTACACGTACTGCGAAAGCACTAAATACTTGTACCACCTAAGTACAAGACTCACAGCTTCACCTAGAAGCTTACACATTGCACTCTTACAATTATAACGAGAATCCTCACGAACTCTCACACCCCAATACATAAAACACTCAAACCCCTTTTTCCCAATTACAAGCTCTCAAAGAATAACTCTAAATACATATCAATGAATAAAGAGATAAAACTAATATACTGGACACTTCAAGATCTGTCTGGAACTTACTGGACGAACTGTAACTGGAACCTGACTGGAACTTTGACCTGGAGGTTTGACTTAGCTTCGTGGTGAAGGATGAAACCATTAAGCACGACCACTAAGCTTCATCAGCCTCAACTTTGAATGAATACATATGAGCATATTTATAGTACACCCAAATTATTCTTTTTGTAAAAGATAAGTTTTATTAAAAGATAGAAATAAAAGATATTTTCCAAAAATAAGTTTTCCAAAAATATATCTTTTGTTAAGAATATATTCTATCAATAATAATAAGATATATTTACCATAAAATCAGATTTTATCTAAATCTTATATTTTCCAAATATACTAATATATCTTTTAACAAAAGATATACTTACCATATCTTTTTACAAAAGATATACTTGCCATATCTTTTTATAAAACATATACTTACCATATCTTTTTACAAAAAGATATATTTACCATATCTTTCAACAAAAGATATACTTTCCATAAAATTAGATTTTATTTAAAACTTATTTTACTGAAAATATTTTCCAAAAATAACTTATCTTTTTCCAAAAGGGATTTATTAGAAAATAAATATTTTTATTCTGTAAAACCAAATCCCTAAAAGATATGCACGTATTAAGTAAGTATTTATATCATTAAATTCGTCCTGCGACCTTTAACGATGTGCAGACCTAAGTTCCGATTAGGTTCTGGAACTCTGACAGTCTCTGAGTTCCTGACAAATCAGTAACTTTAATTTCATTGACTATCATGAGTTCACCTTGGTTCTTTAGACTTGTTCCAGACTGACTTTTATGTCCAACATACTTACATGAATCCTAGAGCGACATACTTTGATTTCTCCGTCTTCATGTTGTTTCTTTGAAACACTTGTTCTGGAATCTTGTAATATTGATGTATTCTATATCTCGGGGCAAGTTCCTGTTAGGGAACTTAGATAGTTCTTGTTAGAGAACTAAGTTCCTGTTAGGGAACTCTTCATGTACCTGTTAGGGAACATGGAACTCTTCATGAACCTGTTAGGGAACATGCTCCGGCTTTCGTGGGAAAGCCTGCCAAAAGTTCCTTCTGGATCTTGTTAGAGAATACCTTCAGGTTCCTTCGTGGTTTGGTTCTCATGCGAGAACCTGCTTTAGGTTCATTCATTCTCTCTTGTTCCTCTTGAAGTTTTCTATGTTCCAACCCATTGACTTCACCTAAGTTTGTTCCTGTCTTCACATAAACACTTAAGAGAAACATTAGATTGAAGTTTGTTTGTCATAAACAAACTTCAAGTGAGAGAACTAATTAAACTTAAAGCTTATGTAAATACTCCTACACATATACAACTCATGTATGCATAGTGTACTTACCTTATGAAGCTAACATATGCAAACACCTATTTACATAGTTACCTTCATGGTTCTTTAGCCATCATCATGTTTATCAACCACAACACTCATCATTGTTCTTGTTTCTCTATTGCTTATCATATATTGCTCAGGTTCCTTATATATATATATATGTGACTGCTCAGGTTCATTGTATCCTGTTCCAAGTATAACTTGTTATTTCTATGCACAACTTAACAAACACATTAGATAGATAATCATCATTAGTTTACAAACATCAAAACCTAATTACTCAACAATTTCCCCCTTTTTGATGATGACAAACTAATGATGCTTATCACACATTAAAGGATAAATCGTTGTACATTTATTCCCCCTTAGTTCTTCAAGGAAATAACATTTAGAACAAGTTAGGAACATACACAGGAACTTCACATAGTTAGAAACTTAGCAGTACACATCCTTATCAATATATATATACTTTCAAAGATCATGTTGTAAGAACTTTAGACTTAACTACTACATACCATAAGCATCATACATATTCTTCCCCCTTTTGTCTTTATCAAAAAGGGTATTGTTCCACAAGTTTGTTTTCCGTAAATTACACACACATAAAGTCATATGTCACACCTACCACCATATAATAAGTAAATATATAATGGTTAAACACTTGTTGTTCCTAAAAGCCTCAAGGTACTCACTTTTCAAACTGGATACTATTTCCACACTAATTTCCAACTCACAATCCAAAGGCCCAACTTCAAAAACCCTTAATTGAACTTGACAAATAAGAAGTTAAAAATCAAGTAAAGATCAAAGCTAAAAAGTTAGAAATGGATTGCATGAATAGGCAAATGAAAGCGCAAGCTCAAAGGATATTTAAAGAAGCATATGGAACAAAATAAGTAGAGGGAACATGAAGTGGAATTTGTGCTCTTCGTTTAGACCTTTTGAGATGATAAGGTTCACCACATTTGTCCTTCATTTCATACTCTTGAACCTCCTACTAAACACAACACATATTCATCTTGCTAATTGATAACCAAGTTCCCTTACTTCAACTACCAACTTCTTTGAGAAACATTCTGCTTACTGGAACTTAAACAGATTTCAGCTTCATAGTCAAGTTCCTTCAACGTTTAATGTTGCTCCTTCACTAGCTAGCTTACCAAGTATACGAGTACACGACATCAACATAGTCAATATTCTTCATATTTAGATATCTAGGAAATTAAATATTGGATCACCCTTATTCTTCTTCTTCTTCTTTTTTTTTTTTTTTTTTTTTTTTTTTTTTTTTTTTTAATAAAGGGTGTCATTACACAGATTTTGCATGCTTTCCTAGAATAACACATTTTAAATCAATGAAGATAATACTTACTCATACACTTGAGTTCCACAACCAGCTTTTAACCATTTTGATTTCTTGGTTCCTACCTTATTCCCCCTGAGTTCCTTATCATTCTTCTTCCTTTTCAAGTGCTTACTTCTTTTCTTTTTCTTCAACTTCCCCCTCAACATGTAATCACCATTCTTCACGTTTCATTGATCCATAAAAAGATTATGAACAAACTTAGATCACATGGGAATTAAGAATAAGAAGTATGGCTATATGAAAAGATAAGGAAATAGGGTCGATAGAATCTTTGAATATATGAAAATATGAAATAAGTATAGCGCAACACGGACACTCAACTAAAAGTTGTAGAATAACGTTGCATTCGAAGAAATATGGTGTGGATGCTTGAAAGTTGGCTAAAATATAGGTTAGTTCCCTCTGAAATTTAAACAAGTGAGGTACAAATGGTCTAGGAACTTACCTGTCTTGTTCCATCAAAGTTTCTTCCATTTTTTCCTTTGGCAACTTAGGAACTTCGTGTTTGACAGCACTCATAGTTCTATTATGAGACCTCTAATACTCTTAGGCAAGTGAGTATGTCTTTTACAACATAAGAATTAAGTGTGACACATAAACAATAAGCGTACATTCTTTACTTTAAGTTTAACATGCATAGGAACCCAATCTTGACATAACTTAAGGGAAAAATACTTTATACTCATGTTATGTTTCATCAAGTCTTGTTCCATTAAGCAATAAGCAAGAATATGACAAGTTAAGACAGAACCATAAGTTAATCAATCCATAAAGTCACATATTGCATTCATACCAAAAATATATCAATTCAATTCATCTAATGCCGTCATGTGAACAGGAACTTATATCTTATGTAGTCTTAAACCAGTAAAAATATAACTTTTAAAACTTTGGTTGATATGATGGCTTACCTTGGAGTTCTTGAAGTGGTTGTTTTGTTCCTTGATGATCTCAAATCTAATATGAACTTCCACTTCTAACTCAAGTTCCATTGTCAATGGTTAATGCTTACAAATATATTTTCTCATCATAGAATCATCAAAAAACCAATGCACAATGCTCGTTAGTTGTACCAAAAAATATAATCAATGTAAATAAGTACAACTAATACCTTAGTCCATCTTGAAAACAAAAATTGACAATTTTAAAGCTCAATTTTCAAGAAGGAACTTGGATAACAATCTATCCTAGAGTATGTTCCACATAGACATCTATAACTGAAAGTTATACAAAAGACATCCATGACATCCATGTGGTACAACTCTAATCCCATATAAACAGCAAGATAAAATAATATTCAATTACCTTCAAGTCTAGCTATATGAGCAACAAGTTCCTGAAAAACAATACATACCTTTGTATTGGTTGTTTCCTATAAGAACCAACATGGCCTTGTTCCAATCACGTGCTTTACTCAACAAACTTTTTCCAGAACACCCTTTTTAATCTCCGACCCTTTTTAGTTGTTCTAGAATAGGTTCAGGATGTAACAAACACCTTCTTCCTTTTAAGCTCATTGAGTTCTTGTTACACATCTAACCTTCAAGCTCCATCCTCAAATGCTTCAATATCTTGAGGCTCGGTCTTAGTTACATATGCATATAAGACACTGTAGCTCCATAGT